AAAGTATTCATTACCTGGATAGATGATACACCACCTTCCCTCAAATTGGCTTTGGAAGAAGTAATTTAGAGTCTTCTGATTTTTTTTCAGAAGTAGAATGACTTTTCTCCTCAATAATTCTTTATAAAAATAGGAATTAAAGTCAGGATTCAGAAATGCCATGAAGCTCATGGTCATTTAGATATAAGGAAAAAACAAGTAACATATTCTAATGGAACAAATGTTGCTGTTTTGCAAACTACACTTTCTATTAATATTTTAATTTTAAATCAAGTGGTTTAGTCTTAGACTGAGAATACAGCAACGTGCAAACCAAACAAAACCAACCACATCAGGAAATTCAAACAAATATACTAGTTTTCCATGAACATCATTCAGTGTGTCTTTCTTAAAAACCACCCAAACCAGACCATCAAACGAACAACCCCCTCTACTATCATTTATACACATAGTGCTCTATTAGCACCACAGAAAACAACTGCCTAATGGATACAGGCTACAAGTAAAACAAGGTATCTATACTTCTGACCCCACCTCACTTGAACACATCAGCAATCCCATCTCAAGCCACGGGCTCTTTTGGAAGGTGAGGGATGGTCCTCACTAAGCTTAAGGTACATCAGTCACTCAACCTGATTTTAGTATCAGTAGTTCTGTTTCCTACTTGCAACAAGTGCTGTTTGCAGCAGAAATGGTGGAAAGCCTCTGAATGACTCAGGAAACTATGTAACTTGGGCTCATGCCTTCAGCAGTTCACTTATTGAAGACTTCCATAACTGTTACCATTGCTCTCTCAATCTCCTTACTTTCCTTCTCCCTTATTGTTTTCTTTCAAATTAATAAGCACACTGGAAAGCAAGCCAACATAATACTCAAAGTCTCAACAGATGGAACCTGAAGGAACAAATGGGTTCAAAAAGGCCTGAAAAGCAAGAAAACTTGTTAGTTTGGAAAAGTCCCTCCCCACTATCTTTCTAGTCATTGTGTTATCCATGTATTAGTAATGAAAATGCAGTAATAATCCTTAAATTGTCACTATTCTCAAATCGCACAGCAGTTCTGTGTCTGCCACACTTGGTACAGTTGCTGCATACACTGAAAAAAGGGTCACATACACACACACATGTCACATTTCTAGCACAGCTAAAGATGCAATGTATAATTTTCTATTCCCTTTTCTATGCCCCACTCAAATTAACAGATTTATTTATTTTTATTTTTTTTTTAAGAGAAATAGAAGTGAAGGAAGTGTGAGTGTCCTTACAGGAAGATGTGCATTTAGCAGTGGTATAGATCAGTACATACAAGTAACAATTGATAGCCTCTGTTACCATAACCACTGTGAACACTGAGGGTAACCACACAGGTGGCATCTTTATTTCACAAGATTAAAGATACAGTACAAAATGAATCTGTACATCTTTCTATTAACAGAATTTGTTTACACAATTATATTACATTTGACCAGCCTTTATACTGATTTTAAATACAAAATAAATTTACAAAACTCCTACAAGACCCTTTAAAGAACTTCAGCTGATAAAAACAAAGGGTTCCCCCCAATAGTTTCTATTTGCCATATGCATTTGCAGTAGTTCAAATCAAACTAAATCTTTTAATTTTAATATTCTCTGAAACAAAAATAGATTTTTCAGTTCATTGTTGCCTTTTTAAAAAGGAAGCAACTTGCAAAGGTGTGATCCTCCCTTTTATAGGCCAAAACTAGCATATAACAGGTGGAAACTAGATAATGCATAGTCTTAGAAGTCCTTTCACAATCCTTGTTTTAACATCCTTATCCTAAAATAAAAACATTTGATAGTTGCTGTTTTGTTTTTTTTTACTTTAATAAGAGCAGCTGACTTAAGGAAGATGACAAAAAATGAGTATAACTGTTTTGTAAGAGTCTCATTGGGATGTTTCTATCAAAGGCCTTATCTTCTATTACATTGTCCCATAATGGACAATATAAAGCAAAGAAAATTGTTTCAACAGACAGCTCTGGGACAAGTTTCACCAGAGTGATGAATCCTGTTTTCTCAACAGGTCAGAGATTCTTCCAACCAGCAAGAACACCTAGTGTGTTTGATTAAGAATTTGAGATGCGGAACAATGTTCTTGCCTACATCTTTCCACAGTTTTCCTACATATAAACACCCATCAACAACATTTACTGCTCTGTAGTTCCATTCTCTGTGCAGGGAGAGAAAAGCATGCATCCAGGAAGGTCAAATATGCAGGCTCTGGTCTACGTTACTTCAGACGAAGAATACAATTCTTCCATTTAAAGCATGCGGAACATACCCAGAAAGGTTTCTCTTAAATCAAGTTTGCCTTCTAAAATACTCCTGCATATAAGCTGTAAGACAACCTGTGTGCTACCAAAAGGGAATAGTACTTTCTTGCAGTAAACCCAGCAACCCAGCTCCTTCAGGAAAAAAGCTGCTTAATAAACTGAATGCACAGCAAGAAGCATATTGCTAGTAGGAGTTAAATATATGTCCTTTGAAATGCAAGTTCCAGAACAGAGAAGCAAGGGATTGTCACAAAAACTTAAGTCACGTTGTAGACAACTGATTTAGAAAAACTATTCATTTCTTTGATCCCTGAGTTAACTTGCCATTACTTACGGTAAGTACCATTTTACTACTACCACTTCATTCAAATGAATGTCATCTGAAAAAGTTAGTGGTAGTAATTTGGTGTAAGGGAAAAAAACAGAAGATGACTTCCTTATTGCTTCTTCAAAAAGCAGTTCTTTAAAGTGAAATAACTTGATGAACTTATATAATTTTCTTCTGCTGATGTCTTGGATATAAAAATGCAGCAGGTTCACTGAAAGTCAACTGTCATATAGCAGCAATGATGAGAGATTCTCATGCAAGTAAGACAGAGCTTTTAGAATTTAGTTCTAGTAGATCAATCAAGCAAAATATTTTTAATAATGCAGTAACAAAATTGTTAAACATCGTAAGAGACCAATACCAGTGAACTAATGGTATTCAACTGAAAAACATTTTCCATATAGTCTTTAATTTATTCATGCCAAGCTAAAAAGAGCTATTAAGTGACAGAGGCAAAAATACTTCAGAGGGAGTGTTTAGAAGTCACAGATATCTTAGAAATATAGCTGGGAAGTGCTGTACATTTTAGACCCTACATTTAAGTTCAATACTGTTCCATCTGCTAACAATGATTACGACTGAACAGGACATCGCTCTATCACATGCTTCAACCCTCCAAATTAAAATGAAAGATTTGTCTTCACAAAAGCAGCATAAGCATTTTGAAGTACTGAGAAGTTCTACCTGTATTTTAATACTAGTCATTCAAGACATTTCAATTTACAAAAGAGTGGATTGCTTATCTCCTTTCCCAAACTACAGATCTACTGTGCAATGGTCTCCTTACAAATGTACCAAGTATGAAACCATACCAAAATCTAAATTCTAAATAAAGTGTATTGATACATTGCTGCCAATCCATTGGAAAAATATTTGCATAAAAGGAAGCCCTTAACCCTTTAAATACATCAGCTTTTGTCAGAAAGCAGCTAAAGCCTCATTTGTATTTCACTCAGCTTTAAGATAGCATATTCAGAGGGTTTAATGCTAGTATAGAAACAAATATTTAACTGCCACTGGTAAGTAAGAACAGAAACTTCTGCATTTCTTTCTTCTAAACTATTCCCCCACTGCTTCCCAAACCCAGGCCTGAAATTACAGTTTAATTAAAATCATTACTAAGTGAAGATTCCTCTTGCAGTCTAAAACAGTCCACAGGTTGTAGTTCATTTGTTAAAAGGTCTCTGCACTGACCTTTTGGTATAAACCATTAGTCTTCTTTCTCTTTCTATACTGTTGTCAAAAGGGATCCTCAGGACGGCACAGCCAGAGATGTTATTTTGACTTTCTCATGTATGCCAGGTACAAGAGGTGCTGGTGACAGCCAGAGCACTGCTGTAATCTAACACACTATGCTTATCAGTCAGCCAAACTTTGGAGTAGCATCACTAGCATAAGCCCATGCCCTTTTGTAGAGAGTATGCATGTTTGGGGCCCTTTTCTGTAGATGCATTGAACAGATGCATGCATGAGATACCACATACATTTCCTTCTTGCAGTGCAGACTGCTAACAGGATTGTTGATAATTAAATACAGAACTTCCACCTCTAAAAAAACACACACACAAAAAAATCTAACTCACTGAGATTTCAGGCTCTGTCCTTTCATCAGTGTCCAAAATAATACTGGTGCTTTCTGCAATCTAGATTCAACATCTTTGTAAAAGCAAGCTTAAGGAATTTAGGAACACCACCAATTTGTTTTTATGTGAAAGTACACACACTTCAAAAAAGTTCCAGATGGGTGCAAGATCTGGGCGCTGTGTCGATAATTTACAACTGTTGAACTTTACAGACCAAATCTGCCCCAATCCAACTCCTGGGCTAGCTACTGTCTGTTGAAAACTGTCAAATATAAGGGGAATGGAGGAAAATACTCAAAACAAAAAAAGCACAAATGGAGAATGGCATGTTTGCTGGCTTAGTTTTACAGAGTTTATAAATAATCCACATTAAACCACCCAAGACAGCATAGAAGACCAAAGTGTAAGAAATACTAAGAAATAATGATGTAAGATTTGTAGAAATATTTGGGATGCAGATCAGAATAAAAGTTCATACAGCTCATCTTTTTAGAGGTTTGAATATAGTTCAGCTTCTTGGAATTACATTGGCCATAAAATTTTTATTGTTATTACTTTTTTATAGGGCAACTGCTATCAAGCAGGCAAAACCTTTCCAATAGTAGCCTTCTGTTCTCTCTAGAAAATGAAAAGGACTCTGAACAAAGAGAAACTAGACACAGCAGGCAACATATTTGTAGTTGCACTCTTGTGTTTCCTTGAAAAAAGCCATAGTGTTATTCCATTGGCACTGAAATAACATTCAAATCTGTTTCAGAAGAATTTTCTTATCCCTGAAAAAAGGCATAATTCTAAGCAGCTTTCAGACTTGTTTTTTGTTTTTGTTTTTTAACTTCTTTGCGCCTCTTTTAGGGGAGGGACTGTTGATCCAAAGTCCTAAATCACAATGAAAATTGTTCCTTTTGGAAAAATCCAGTTCATTCACTGAGGCTCTTGTTGCTATTGTGGTGGTTGATGCTCTGGTGGTGGTTCTTGTGGAGGCACAGCTGGCCGCAGTCCTACTGGTCTGGGAACTGCCTGGTGTTGCCTTTGTCTGTAAGCTATAATTGTTCCCAGAAGCAAGGCGATGATGGTCATAAGGTAAAGGTCCCATTCAGGCCCCAAGAGCTGGTCCATATCAATATGTGAGAACACCTCCCTTATCTAAGAAACAAGAAGTCCACATGATCATGTTAAAGAGCAAGAATGGCAAGTTACTCAGATTGTAAATTTGACTTGTAACACTTTTTATGTACAACTACTAGTTTTAGAACTTCAGTAGCTCTTTTCCTATTTGAAAAAATATCACATCAGTAACATTCTTAATTTCACAGAAGTAAATGCCAGTAAGACTAAAAGCCATACTATAAAGGATGAGCTATTCTATTTTCTGTCCTAGACATGAAGCCACTTTGCAGCTTTCCCATACAGAGCAAATTTAAATAAAAAATTTAAATAAAAATGAGGTATGTAACCATACTAATAAAGAAAGAGAAGCAAGTATCACATACAGAGAAGCAGTGAAATTATCAGTACAGCCAAGTTGGAAGTCATCAGCAAAGTACCATGAACGACAAAACAGTAAGTCCCAGGATATTTAATGTGGTACAGTGCTAAGATTTGTGGGGATGAAGTACAGGGAAGAAAGTGATGGTTAGTTTTGACTGAACTGCCTTTCTATCAGGCTTCCATCCACACAAGCATTACAACATACACTTTATGCCTCACTACTGTACCTGACAGTACTACAGTCATTGTCAATTTAGGTCTCCATCATCAGACTTAAAACTTGGAGTATCTGTATTGTGCATACCAGCCTCTCTCAGTGCTACATGGGTAATTGCTCAATTGATTTAGAGTATTTTGACTGTCCACTCTTGAAAGTCCTCACACTCAAGACTACTAGATTCTGTTGAATTTAGCTGGATTGTCTGAACTTCCATTTGCTCTAAGTGGCAATAATAAATTCAAATGGTACAGAGAAGTAATCCAAAAGTCCATAAAATATCAGAATACTGAGGAATATTTGAGACACTGTATAGAAATAATTAACCTAAATTCTAGGCAAATATATCTTTCAGTGCTGCCACTCTGCAGAAACTGTATAATAGCTAAACTATCTAACACAAATATTTTTTTCCCATAGAAATTAAACAAAGCTCAAGTGGGATTGTTATACATGAGACTTTGGGCTACAGAAAACTATTTTTTTTTTCCTGAACAGCGACTATGTCATTGTAATCACTTATTTAACTTGCACACCACAGGGCCACCGATAAGAGCAGTCAAACAGGTCAGCAATATTCTCTTCAAGGGAAGCACAGCACTGGCTTTGCATATTTCAGTTTCACATAATGGCACAAATTAAACATTAGGAAGAAATTCTTTAGTGTGAGGGTTGTGAGACACTGGAACAGGCTGCCCAGGGAGGCTGTGGATGCCTCATCCCTGGAAGCATCCAAGGGAAGGTTTGATGAGGATTTGAGCTACCTGGTCTAGTGGGGGCTGTCCCTGCCCATGCAGGGGGCTTTGATTCTATGAAATAAGAATCACAGCTTCAGTAGCTTTCTTAATATGCAACAACAAAAAACATATCTAAGTTTTCAGAAGGCTCAAGTAAGACATCTACTTAAATGACATTACAACTCAAGCTTCTTCTGAACATGAAAAACACATTTGTTGTTTTTCCTGTTAATTCTGCATTACTTACATTGATCTCTTGTACATATTGCAAGGAATAAATCACTCCAAGCTTGCAAAGTGCTAGGAAGACTGGAACCTGAGCATCTGGGCTTGCTTCAGCTGCCATGTCATAGAATCGTTTTGCAAGATGAATATCCTAAAGTTAAGAAAATATAAAGCTTAAGTTTTGAAGACCTTAAAAAATTAGGCATAATATGTAGAGCTTTTTCTATAAGCTATTGCATCCTGTCATTTGAATACAAGGGTTTTGGTAAAGTTAAACAAAGGTCATTCAGTAAAACTTCCCTTTTTTTCTGAGGGACATTCATCTCTGAATAGAGAAGTAAAGGGAAGCTTCAATCTGAGGATTAAGCTATTGTAACTGATGGTAGAAGTGAAGCTCATTAAGAGATTAGTATTAACATATTCAACCCATGCACTGTAAACTAAGGCATATATTTACGTAACCCTAGTACACTGACATCTCCAACATTACACTAAACATGGAAGACTAAGAAAATCAAAGTCATGGAGAAGTACACAGCAGCAGCTTCTCCCAGTTATACTACAGCATGCCTGCTGCATAGTGCAGCTTCTGACGATTTCTGCACGTACTCTCAAATTAGATTCTACTCCTTATCCAAATGGACATAACTTGCATGAGTGGCAAAAGCATGAGCACACCCAGCAACTTCAGGAAGAGCTTAAAATAGTGTTCTCCTCTGTGATAGTTGGAATAAGGTGATGACAACAAGAACAGAGGGTATGTGTACCTGAACAGTTCAACTTTTCTTATTTGGGTTTTTGGGGTTCCACTTCAGATTAATATGGTGCAATGTTAGGATACTTGAATACGAACTGCCTATGTTCACTCAGTGATGTGGAGGACAGGGCTGTGTAAGACTTAATTCTGGAATTGTTCTAAGTTGGACACTTAAAATACAAGAAATCTCCAGGACTTCATGCCACATGTTCATTTTGTAATTCTATCCTGATTTTGAAATACCATAAAGAATTTCTCTTCCATGCAAATTATAGAATTCGGACTGATTTTTCTCAAATAACCAGCAATTATGCTGAACATTATGTATTATAATTTTCAAAGTTTTTATTACTTGCTCCAAATTAGGCTGTTTTCAAGTAGTAAAATAAGTTTTCAAGAAGTAAGAGAAACAAAAAACTCCATGTTCTGAAAGGATTCTTTTGTAAAAAAGAAAATCTCCCAATTTTAGCACTGTTGCTTTTAGCTACAGGCTCATTTCCAGAAGTTAATTAGTTTTAAGGACTATAACAGAGAAAATAAAATTTGAAGATAAGCTTTAGAAATCATGCAATTTGTGTACTGTATTGTCTCTTCTACAGCTAGGTCAGTAAGCAGTTAGCTCATGTTGATTGCTTGCTGCTGCCGAAGTAGCAATATTGACCAAAGACTTGCTTTTAACTGTTCTGACCTTTTCCCAAGAATTTAGGGGCAAAGGACTCTCTTTTAATAAACTGAATAATTAAAAGGTGCATATCTAGACAAAACCTAAATGTTGCAGCTCACTGAAAATAAGGAAAGAAAAACAATTTCTTACAGTTTCAGGTAACCCAGAAGATGTTACTAAATTCATACATCAATTGCATGAATTAATAATACATTAAGGTAAAGCAGGCTGCTTAAAATCACTATGTGATCACTAATTATATGATTTTGACATATGTAAGAACATGTTGCTTTGGATTTTGTAATTTTTAGTTAACTCATGGACAGCAATGCACCACGAGCTTCCTAAGAGGACCAGATATACTGCCTTTTATGTGATGTAGCTTGCAAAGCAAATTGTAGCCTAGCCTAATCCGGAAAACCATAGCTAATAATCACATTGGTTTTGGTGCTTATAGTTTCTTACTTGAAGACACATAGAACTTCTTTTCAAAATGTTATGATATAGAAAATAAATTAATCAGTGTTTCACAGGGCAAGAACAATATTGTGCTAAAATACCCTGAACCAGGAATTGATTTGCACTCATTTTATTACACTTCAAAGTCTTGAAAGTATTGTTCAAGCATATGGCACTCTTTTTGCCAGTCTTCACAATTTTAGGCAAATAGCTTTTTCCCTGTCTTGGTCTCATTTCTTCACATAGCTAAGTATGAAGTGGATGTACTTATCCATTTACTAATGGGGAATGTATTGGGAGACATGCTAATTCCTACTAAGTGGTTAAATAGTGCCCAAAGCCCAGTAGTGTTTATGGCCTTAATCTAATATTAGTAAATGCACTGTAATGAAGCAGACTACCAGCCGACAGTTTACCCACCTGCTTGATGCCCAATCCCTTCTCATGCATGTAGCCCAGATTAAACATTGCTTGCGCACTGTGCTGTTGCTCTGATGCCAGTCGGTAGTGAATAAATGCAGTTTCATAATCAACATCAGTCCCAAAACCATAAAAATGGTAATCTCCAAGTTTAATTCTTGCAACTGTATATCCTATAAATGAAGAAACAACAACAAAGATGAAACAGCTAGGCAAAGAAGGCAAAGAAAGCCTTTTAGTTTCATATGAAGATGCAATAAGACCTTCAATATTATTTTCCGTAGTTTTCACAAACTGTTTCCCTTTTACCCTCTCTCATATAAACATTTTTTGTTTACTGTTTTTTTTTTTGTTTGTAGTTTTTTTTGTTTGTTTGTTTTTTGTGGGGTTTTTGTGTTGTTTTTCTTTTGTTTTGTTTTGGGTTTTTTTGTAATTTAGTTTAGCTAACCAAAACACAACAGATTACTATTTCTTGGTAATCCTACCAACATTTTTACTGCTATTTACACAACATTTATACGTTGAAAAGCTGTATTATGTTGTTCACAGTCATTTATTATAGAAAAACTCTTAATTTCTTAGAAGTTCATTAAGGGCTTCAGCTCTGTTTTTAAAACAGAGACACTGAAAACTTGAAAGTCTCTCATCATTATTTGGTAACTGCATACTTAACCATTCCATCTTTTCAGTTTCTAACTTTCTACTAAAAGCTAAGTAGGTCTGGAGATTTTCAGACAAAACTCTTAGGCTCTGTTTACATTATACACTTGCTCTTCAGTGAAAAGCCAGTACATTTATGTAGGTGCACCTGTATGAAAGTTAGATACAGCAAATTGAGATATTTAATGATTAATTAAGTTTTGTCTATTTTAGGATAGGATCACAAGCATCAGAGTTTAAACCTAGGTTTGTTGGTTGGACAATCTTCATCACTGAATTTTGTTTGCTTTCAACAGGAAATGACATTTTTTATAAATCATGAAAAGTACCAAAATCCTAAAGGGTGCTTCATAACTATTTTTCCAAGTGAATGATTTTTTTAAAAAAAAACAGTCTAAACATTCCTAATGCTGTTTAACACTGTAATTCCATACTTAATGGCAAAATCCCACACCACACACTTTTCAGTTCTTTAATCTTCAGAATCTCAGAATGGCTCAGAATTGCAAGCATATTGCAATGACGTTATAGCTAACAGCGGAACAAAGAACTGCAACTAACCTACATGGAGTAACTAATGTTAACAGGAAGAGGTAAGCTTTCCCTTCTTCCCTGTTTAATAAAAAACATGAAATAAAACATGAATGGCTCTACTAAAAATATAATTGGAATTGTGAGGTACAGACATACCTTGAGAAGCTGCTCTATTCCAATGAAGCAAAGCCCGAGGATAGGTTTCATTTTCTCCTACTATGCTAGCTTCTTCTAGAGAAGAAAGTAATTCAGTTAAAGGGGAACATGGTATAAGCACACAAGACCACAAAAAAACACCCATGCTTATATTAAACTTTGCTGAAATGAATTAAAAACTTTAAGTCATCTGTGCTACAGCACAGAAAAAATCCAACCTATCTGAAACTTACAAAACCCCCTCTTGTTTATACGGTTTTTCGACATAACTGCCCATATAAGAGCTAGGAACAAAGTCATCATTTCACGCTGAAATACTGTTTACCACCAAGTGTCACTCCCATTTGTGCTCTAGTAGATTTTGAAGCATACTTCAAAGTATGCAAGTCTTAAGCACACAATTCAGGCCCTGTCAAAGATGCACTCAAATACAAGGCTTAAGTAGATGACATTTTAGTTTGACCATCTAAGAAACAAGACTAGTCAAGTGAAATGAAGGCTTAAACTCCCTAACCAGCCAGAGGCATATTTTACACAGCAGTGCTACAGTTGCTTCAGAACAGAAGTTACATGCAAGGTTCTATGAATATTTGATTTTTATATTATGACACAAAGCCCTGAAGTTGCTAATGAGGCACCTAGATTTGAGATCCATAAAGGTTAAAATCCTGCGCTTTCTGGTTTCTGCAAAGATTTGCCATTTCCATTGTTTCCCTATGACCCCAGACTCTGAGAAACCCACGTTCCAGTCATGTAGTTGCAATAAGAGACTTGAGACAAGTTTTTTTAAATTGTCCAGAACCAACTGTCCAGCTCTTCTTCCCTGATTCAAGAGCAGTATGGATAAAGTTACACAAAGTCTGGAGGAAAAGTAGTAAGACATTACAAGATAAAGAACAAAGGAAGCTGAAGCTGGGATGTATAATAAAGGCAAACTACTAATTCTTACTTAATAGATTTAAAAATAAAATGTTAAGGCTGTGTTTAGAAGTCCAGGGAAAAAATTTTCAGCATGGTTCAAGTTTGTAAAGTATTCTCTCCCTATCCCATTTTTAAAATCCCTTAGGTGTATTCTAACTTCTAATTTAAGTGTATTCTAACTTTTAGGCCAGAAGGCCATCCATGGAGCTGAAAATTAAAACAAACTGCTTTCCAGTTTGAACAGCAGGAAAGGGAACAATAAGACTTATTGTAGTTCTAACTGAACAAGAGCTATGTAATTATATCTTCAAGCACTTTAGCACTCTAGCAAATAGGTTTCTGCAGGCAAATTCCAAAGAAACCTTTCAGGTCCTTACTCTGATCAAGTATGAAAGCAGCATTGCTTTGTGCAACTTCGTAGCCTTGTTCTGCCAGAAGAAGATACTGAACCACAGCAGAATTTGAATCACCATCTTTATAGCTGTTGTAGGCAGTCATCAGTCTTTCAGACCAACGGCCCCGTTCACATACATTCTTAAACAACTGGAGAGGAAAGAAGAGAGGAGAGGACTAGTTGTCAGGAAATGTAGGTTGTTCAGAAATTTCAGTTTTGCAAGATGTAAACTTTTAACACTCAAATGCCTGTTCAAAATATTTACGTTTCACAGGAAAAACTTGCTAGATGAACTCACTGCTTAAGATAGGCTTACTTTAAGATAGAGTTATTATCAGGTATTTTGTTACATTCATCCTGTGCCTAAATGAAGAATTCAGTACATAGAAAATAAAATGTTTGCTTTGTATTACATTCTTTTGATTTTCTTCAAAGTTATTAGAGCAAATATAAAACTTGCCTTATCAACACAGAATTTTTTTTTTTTTTTTTTTTTTTTTTTTCCCATGATATACAAAGGAGTTTGGTAATGTTTTTCATTTTGAAAGCCTTGGCTCTGCAGTTGCTTGTGGATTTTACCTAAGGCAAATTTCCTATATAAACTGATGTGGTTATAGCTAACCCTTTGCAAGACAGTATTACTTGACCTTTATAAATGGGTGACCTTACCTCAACAGCAGTGTGACAGGATCGCATCACTCCGGTGCCAGTAGCATGCATTTGAGCCAGATTATAAAAAGCCAGAATGTGGCCACCTTGGGAGGCCAAGTTAAAATACTTCAAAGCTTGCTTATAGTCTCTCTTGACTCCAATGCCATCTATAAAAAAAGATTAAGTCATTAGTATTAATTCCCCTTGAAAAGCAGAGCTATATGAAATACAGTATGTACTTCCTCTTTAAAATTATTAAAGAAAAACGCTCTGAATGTGTTAGGGAAAAAACAGAATCAAGTCTAAGTTCAATGCAGTAAGACAACTCTACAGGCAGTATATCTACACTTCTAATGCCACCTAGTGGACAGTTCCTGAAAGGGCAGATGCTTAGACCAGGCAAATCATCATTTTGATGCCACTTACTGTAATACATGGAACCTAGTTGAAGCTGTCCATCAACCCATCCCTGTTCTGCAGCCTTCTGGAAATACTTCAGTGCTAGTTCATAGTTCTGCAGGAAAATTTGGTCCAGTCATTAGTGCCTTGCAATACACCACAATTTTAAGTAAAGAAAGAAAATACATGTGTGCATGCATATGTAAGTGCATGAACAGATCTGTAATACAGAATAATTACACTGGGATGTTCTAGTGAGAAAACATTCACCTGGTCAAAATTTGGAAACAAAAAATGAAATAGCCTACTATGATACAAGTGTGTCTTAAGTCTGCAGCTATCTCTAATCTGGCATCTACATATAGCATTGTTATGAATAGTTATGCTTAAAATGGAATGGATGCCCTTTTCCGTTTCTAGAACAACTATTTTATTTATTTTCTCAACTCTAGGCTAATTCAACTTTTAAATATCTCTTGGCATAGCTAAATATAAAATATTTTACATGGAACCTTGTGGGAAAAGCAACAAGTCAAATTAACTAATTAGAAGTTTCAGAATATTCCTCCACTTTCAAAAGCTATAGAAATTGAGGACAGTTAGTATTTGTTGTATTTCACAAGAAAACTACAGCTAAGTTCAAAACTCCCACTAAAAAGTCACACTGCTATGAAGTTCTAATAGCTTTAGCAACATTTTCAAGCTTATTAGAGGGACTCAGTATGTTTCATACTGCTAACTGCATTAAAAAAAATATATTACAAATTTCCTCATAGGGTTTTCAGTGTAACAGAAATCTTCACAATAAGTCTTCTAAAGTACTCCCCTCCAGAGAAAAAGTTTCTTGACAACAAGAAGTTACACAATCATCTACGATTAGAAAGATGACTGTCAAAAGCTTACCACTGGAACACCTCTTCCGTAGAGGTAAGCCATTCCTAATCCACTCTGTCCAACAGGATTACCCTGAAAACACAGGAAAACACTTCTGCAAAGGAAGGCAAAACCTACAACTATGTATTTCAAATTTGGTCTGTCTTTAACATCATTGTAACAAACAGTGTTTAAGATAGATTTGCTTTGTATCTTTGGTCCTAGTAAGCAATAGTTATTTAGGGAGAAAATACAATCTTCAGTAACTTTTATTCAGTAACTGCACTGGTGATTAATAGGAAAAAGAAAAGCTTTCAACAACAGTTAGGAAAGTCCACCGTGCACTTTCAAAATGTTGTATGTACAAGATGTAGAACCCACACCTACAGGAAGGTGAGTCATTAGAAAATAATAGATGATTCAGTCAAATAGTCAAAAGAATACCTTACTCACTTTAGTTTTTCCAAGTCTGAGATGTTCTGGATGCTACAGAAGCTTCCAAAACAACTACAGGAACTCTGAGAATCCATCTTAATTTAAGGACAGATTGGTGGCTGTTCTGTGGGCTGCATTACTGACCACTGCCCCGGAAAAGCATGAACCATGGTATTCCTCAACGCCAGGACAGGCAATGAAGCACATCAAAAAACTCGAAGTGAATGTAGGAAATTAGCAAACAGAGATCCTTACTCTAGGACTGAGGTGCAATCTAATTGTGAAATGCAAGAACCATGAAGACAGTTATCTTCCAACAGTTCCTTCAGAACTTCAACTACTGTGTTTCACATGCTAAACATCTTTCCTGGAGGGCTACTCATGCTTTAACTGTACAAAGGCTACCATAAGGGATGGGTCACATAAAGGCACGAGGGAGTAAGACCTAAAAACAAGCACTCAAATGAGATGAGCAGTATAAAACCAAGACCGTTATCTAGTTACTGACCACAAAACAGAACTAAAATAACGTATCATCAGTGCACTATAAATTTCTGTGACAAGAAAATGTTGGATTAATGAAAAATAACAATGAACAGAATTGCACACTATTTAGGTGGATGGTATTTCATATTGATGACTGCATTCATGAGACTTACACTCCTTACGCTGAGTACAGCTTCACAAAGCACCACGACCAGAACTGGAAGAAGTTTCTGGCATCTTAGACACGCAGGGTTTAATTAAGAACTAATCTGAGACAAAAGCTGGGACTAGGTGTATACACATGGAAGTGCACAAAAAGCAGCATTTGCAAGCTAATACATTTTTTAGTGCATCTAATTTATTTCAAGCTTACAGATAATCATACCATATCAGCAGCCTTCTTGAAATACTGAAGAGCTGTTTCATTGCTCTGAGGTACAACATCACTTCCTTCTGAGTACATCTGAAGGAGAAAGGCATTATTGAAGAAGAGGTGAAGAAGTCAGTTTAACATTGAGATCATGAGGTATCTTCACTTTGGATGTGAGAGGGAGTCTATCGTACTGTTAGACTATTCTGACTATTTACTGAGTAATGATTAAAAACTTTCCCAGAAGCAGAAAATATGTCTCTATGCTGTCAAAAGGGTTTAACTTTCTAATTGAGAATGAACAGCCCATAAAATAAAAAGTTTTCATGAAAATACCCTTAATGTTTGAATTCCACCTGTGTGCAGTGAAAAACACGTAATCAGGCAAAAAAATCTTGTGAGACCAGTGGCAGTCAAACTATAATGGCAGTTAAAATACTTACTGAAAACATGGGAAAAATTGGTTAATAAATCCTGTTCATAGAATCATATGTTCATTTCAGCATTTTCTAGACACAAAACACCCAAGCAGTAGAGAAAGCAGAAGCCTGCAATTTTTCCTGTCAGGTGCCCGGACCAGCACAATGTTTGGGTTTTTTTAACATTAATTTTGCATCCTCTACTACAGTGACAGCCTGAAAAGGATGAGCTACAGCTGCTGCTTATTGCAGCCTAACCTTAGAGAGTACTCGAATAGAGTAATAAGGATTTCACTCCTCACAGGGTGAAGGTAGCCCTGCAACCCAGATCGCAGGCAAGTGACCCAAATACCTTCCTAAGCAGTAACTCATGAACATCACCAACAGCAGCTTGTCAGTCATGTTTTAGATTCAAAAGAACAATCTAAAACTGATACAATAGGCCACCCTGCACACAGACTCAGGGTTTGGTGCAGAGTAGATGCAGACCTATTGACTGTTCTGACCCAGACGCCTCAGTTCTCTACACAGAATAAGAATACAGATATCTTTCCTCTTTCCTTCCCAAACTTAGTATTACCTATTAGGCAAAATTTTGAGAAGTCTGGCTGTTAGCCTCACACACTGTATGGAAAAGCACAGTGGCCTGCTTGGAGTTTTGAACTCTGCCACAGAAAAAGGACATTTAGGTATTCAACTATTTAATTTTTTTAAAAGTCTAGTTCAAGCACTATTTAGAAAAAGAAGCTCCTAAAGTGAACGAACAAGTAGAAAATGTAGATTAGACATAATGGACTACAGCACTCAAATCTTGCAGGACCATTCAAAACAGTACCAAAACAGCAATACCTGGACACCAGGATTCAAGTTTTAGATTGCCTGGTATCAGAAAGCAGGAAATAATTGTTATTTTTCATTGAAAGGCAGTCAACTTGCTTCCTTTTGAGAGTGTTCATAACTTACCTTTCCTAGAAAGGCCATGGCATGTGAGTTGCCAGCATTAGCTGCTTGACTGAAGTACTCAAATGCTCGCTGTAGGGAAGAAAACAGGTTTGCCAAGTTACCAGGTTCTTCTGGGGATAAGAATTAACAATTCCACCTAATTTAATATATGTAACAGGGTTCTGCATTTATAATCTGACTATTGAGCAGCAATTCCTCTCAAAAGTGTATTCCAAAAGGAGAGGGAAAAAACCCCACAACTACAACTGCTACTATGCATAAAGTACACAGGTAAATCTTACTTCCTTAGTGTACCTCCAAACCCTGTTTAGAAGAGGACAGATCTGCCAGTTCCCATTTCAGTTTTACAGAGAACTTGTTTATACTCATTATGACCACTTGATGTCATCTCTGGACCCTTCTAGAGGGTCACTCTAAAGTATTTTAAATGTGATGACTGTTAAATAATTTCTGGCTGGTAGCTGAGTCTAAAATAATCCTCAGTATTGCACATCCTCAGCTCTCCATATTTTCAAAACATATGCTAAGAAAAGGCTAGCAATTTTAACTTCTACAACCAATAGCTAGGTTGGCTTACATCAGCAGAAGTTGTATCTTCATAGAATCATAGAATCTTAGGGGCTGGAAGGGACCTCGAGAGATCATCTAGTCCAACCCCCCTGCCAGAGCAGGGTCACCTAGAGTACATCACACAGGAACTCATCCAGGTGGGTTTTGAATGTCTCCAGTGAGGGAGACTCCACAACCTCCCTGGGCAGTCTGTTCCAGTGCTCTGTCACTCTTACAGTAAAAAAATTTTTTCTTCTATGCTTAATATACTTAACATTGAATATTGCACTGTGTGTACAGTGCATCATGAAGATTCCACTACACGAACAAAAGCTCAAACAGTTTCAAGTACTACTTTCATAAAAACTTGGTCTTTGTCTTTGACTTCCTCATTTCTGAGATGATTATTCTTAAATTAACTGTGTAAGAAAACCAGCTCCATGTCCTAGTCACAGGAAGATTAAGTTTCATTGAATGACTTAGGTTTTATTGAACAAGACTACTGAAGCCATTAAATACCTTACAGTGGTACTAAGGCACTCTGGCTTCACTGTGGCCTCAGAGCTATACTTTCTCCACCAAGTGTAATATGCATCCGAGATAGACAGAAAGGATACCTGATGATTTTGTTCTACGCCTCTTCCTCCGTGTAAGTGCAACTGTCCAAGGCCAACCTAAAAATAAATTTTATATTGCAAATAAGTCACTTTTCTCTTAGGGACTTTCTTTTTTCTAATAATACAGACACCAGTGAACTAATTAAATGCAGAAAGACAGACCGTATCAGAGCTAAAGATGCCACAAAGTCTGAAGGCACAAATTTGCTTCAATACCTGCAGTACAGTCCTATTTTTTCACATTTATCCTAAGCACAAATTTATCCTAGATAAGTGACTTGACTGTCCCAGATACAAAATAGTACTTTTTCATTTAAATTCGGCCTAGCTAATTCTTAAGTCATATATGATCAAGTTGAATTGTGACAACCTGCCTATATTAGTATCTTCACCTCCTGCACTTGTGTGTAGAAGAGGTCTAGCCTGCACCATGCACAAGTCATGGAAGAGCAGAAGCAGCAAGAAATTGAGGTCCTCTGTCAGGGCCAGTTCTTTTGATCAATGCTTTGTCCACACATCTAAAGCTATTATTAAACTAGTCAAGCTGGTTTCTAGTGAAAGTCAAGATCCTCCTTCCTAAGATACTAAAGTTGTAATGTTTCAGACTTATTTTCCATAAAAATTTGCATTTTCTGTCCAAGTTCTACCTTAAGCACACTAAACTGAAGCCTCTTCTCATAAAAACTAGTCAGGAAATAGTAACCAGCTTGATTTGGGAGAATGAGAAAACTAAAGCTCCAACATCTTTTCATGTTTTTATTACCAGTAATTCTTGAAAACCTTTGTGTGCCATCAGGTTAACTTAATCTTACCTGTGCTTGCACATCTCCTTTCTCTGCTAAAAACTGATAATACTGAATCAAGTCTTCTTCTAGCATCCCGCTTGCCATTCCTGGATTTTCCACTTCATCTGCTAAGCGAATTCGCTGAACCACTGTGCCACCAGTCAAAGAAATGTCACTAGCAACTGCAAAATGGGTAAGATAAATATTCAGATGGTTTTCTTCAATACCAATATTATACTGCCTATTAGAAGAACAGATCTCTCCAAAGCTTCAAACTGTTTCTCAGAGGGAATTAAGTACTTTGACACTCTTAGAATTAGAAGCATTTTAATAAACAGGAGATAAAAATACCATATGCCTATTCAGAGTCAAACAGATAGCTTGTTTAATAGCAGGAATTTTCTATTTTGATACTACTAGTATTGACACCAGTACTTCTAGTATCATCTAGGTGAATGATACAGAAATACATAAAAAGTCAAGAACTTTGCTCTAGTAAAACGTTTTTACCATGATTAGCTACAAGTCGGTAGTGAGTGAGAGCAGATTCACAACTCTGAAGGACTCCTATCCCAGCCCAGTACCGGTAACCCTAGAATGGAAAACAAAAAAACATGGGCCTGTCAGTTATTTGAAAACATATTGTTTGCCAGGTTCCAATCTTTTTTCACATTACTTGAGCAAGACACGATGAGAAAAGAGGCAAAACAAAGGCTGCAAAGTCCACTGTGTCTGCATTAAAAGAAACTGACTGATAACTTGAAAGGTTATGCATAGTGAATATTCTTCGATATTACTTGTGAAAAAGCAAATAACCTAAATGACACCTATGGGCAAAAATCTAAAGCCTTTTACTTACATAAGGCACTTTGCCTTAAAACTCACTATACTGATTAAACTGGCATCTTCTGTAAAGATTTCACAGTTCTCATTAGCCCATAAAAATTAAAAGTCTGACACTTCTGCTTTGAGTCAGGAGATGTAAACATGATTGATCTAAATGCATAGTGGTATACAACTTAAAAATATGCAAACATTTCTTCAAGTTAGCAAGGAGTAACAGGAAAGATACTACTGCCTACCCAATGAATGCATGATTATCTGATATTTGCACAGTGTATTTACATGAATGACAATCTTACTCTTTAAGAGTACAAAAAAGTTCTTATATGAGTTATTAACTATCTTACTTACCAAGATCATATGGGCAATCAGATTTCCTCCTAAAGCTCCAAAAGTGTAATACACCAGGGCCTTAAAACAAAATAATTTGTTATTTAACATCTGCCTCCACGATAAAACCAGGAGTACACACTGAATATTTCTAAGTTACCTTAGCTTGACTAGAATTGACTCCTAGACCAGATGCATATAGAAATCCAAGAGCCTAGAAAGAAAATAAAGTTAGTTAGGACATTCCTTGAAAAATCCAGGATCAGTTTTCCTCAAATATGTAAGTATAAAGAAGTGAAACAACAACGCAAAGCTGCAAAGAATATGCCAAGCTTGACTTTCACTTTGGTACCTCAAATACCTAGGCCCCACCCTGCCCCTTTTAGAGTATGATGTTTCTAAATCACTCAGTTGCCTAGGACACTAACATAAATATATTGCAACAGAATTCAATCTAGTGGTTTGAACGCAAGGAAGAAATAGTTTCCCAAATGCCAAATGTAGATACAAAGGTCATGAACAATAGAAGTATCCCAGCTTCAAGATGCTCAAGAGAAGATCAGCAATATTGGCCAGGTTATTAATGCGTCCCATTTATCTCTTACACCAGTGTAAACATACGTGAACCCTGACCTTCTCTAGAAAAGTCTTACCGTTTCATTTACTGTCTAGCAGATCCTACAAATTTACTATTTTGCATCTGTTCTGCCATGAGTTAGTTGCATTTATTACTATAAATATAAGCAGTTAGAATGAACAGAGCTGTTAGGATGATTTTTTTTTCTAAATAGTTATTTTTATTTTGAAAATTTACATAATTATTGCTCTATCTAACACCTGTTACAGCTGTGTGGCTCAGAGAAGAAACTAGCAGCACAGAAGATAACAGTGTATATAAAAAGATGCCTATATTTCACAGTGTCAGAGACTATTCTTGGCTATTATAAAAACACACCAAAAACCAATCACCCTATGCTGGCAGTATTGAATTATAGAGCAATAAAAGTCAAGGTCTTCATTGAGATATAAAGTTTCTACAGAAAATATGTTCCTGCTTTCTATGCTTAATCAGCACTCCAACATTAAACCAGGACTTGGTAAGCAAAGATCTAAACACAACTGGGTAATTCCCAAAGAAGCTTACACTTTCAAAAAGAAGGAACTAAATAGAAAGTATATGCAGATACAGAGATATTGAAATTGGTAATATTAATATTTTATAACATGTGAACAATTATGTATGAATCATTCTATAATGTTCAAAGACACATGGACAAAGTGAGTCCTGTTCTCTAAACAGCTTCCAAAATTCCTAGCTGTTCATAACTTCCTACATTCTAAACTTTGGTATGTGTCTATCTACCTACCTCAAATGTAAAACTGCAGATGAAAAGCCACAACATCCCCCACAAAACACAAGAAAAAAATAACATAGTTTCAGAGAAGCTTTGTTGGCTGGAGTCACCTGTATCTACTCATTTTTTGGATGCATACATCCAATCCAGTCAGTCATGTAACAGATAAAAAAATAAAAGACCACCACCACTAAATTACTGGTAGTTTAATGTTGTTTTCTTAAAAATTCAAAGAGAAGACCTGTTGCCATGTGTTTACCTTGAGGGTGCAGGTGTCATTTCTAACTGCACCCTCAGTAATGCTACCAGCATGCAGAAGCCAGGTAAAGCAGAAGCATTGGGGGGGGCACTCTGAACTAAAGGAAGACACTGGTGAAATTTAAAAAGGTAAAGACAATGAATAGTCAGGATTAGGAAATGCTTAGACAAGCATTAATAAAATACATCTACTGAATCAGAGCCTGAACCAAACTTTTTACATCAAGTCTTCAAACAATTTAAAAAATCAGCACTCTGTTGTATTTTTTAACCAGGCAACAGATAACCACCTACTGTTCTCATTCTATTATGGAAGCAAGAACAATCCATAAAACCTACCTTAGAATAAGTACAATCTATAAAACAACTCATAAACCTACAAAAATGTCTTAAGAATCTAAGGACCTACATACCATTTGTCCTTTAGGAGAACCTTCTTCTGTTAGTTTTTCAAATAGTTCTTTTGATGACTGGATGTTCTGCTTCAGGTAATCCCCAAACAACAAAGCATAAGACACTTTCTCCATTGCTTTGGTATGATTCATGTCAGCTGCTTTCAGAAGATATTGATATGCTCTTAAAAGGAAACAAATTATTTGTCACCTTGAGACAAAGAAGCAAATTCCTTTCATAAACCTGAAGATTCTGGGAAGCTATTCTGTTCCTCTGTTTTAACCTCTATTTTCTACAAATGCATCTACCTACAGTAATTTGTTCCAGCACTGAACTGTCAATCTATGCAACAACATCAGACAAACCGGATTTTAATATTCACTCTACTCCATATGCAAAGCAGTATGCATTGCCTCCCCTGTAAGATATACAAAAAGTTTAAGGTCAAATGATCACTTTTTTGTAGCAACAATTCTAAGTGTTGTACTAGGCACCTCGTAAGACTGCTACTCGGACATGACAGAAAAAAAAGCCTGAAAAAGACTATGGAGCCTCTTTGATTTGTTGAGTACAAAGTAATTCCAATGAAAACACTAGGTGTTGGATCCAAGGCAACTGCATACATGATCAATTTTGTGATAACACACTCGTGCTATCAATGAGAAAGTTCTCTGGAAACTCCCCTTCCTATTGCAGTCTCAGAAATTACATTAGTCCTCCAAAGTGATTTCACACCAGCTGATTCCCAATTTAAAAAACTGTAACCTTACACATCATAACACAGCATTGTCAAGTACACTTCATGGTTATCATGGACCTTCAATAGCATTCCAAGATTTTTCTTTACCTCTCCTCCTTTCCATTCTCAGACTTGTTTTGTTTCTTTAGAACATGTTGAAGTATAGTTGTTCCTCACATAATTTCACCTTCTAAAAAAGTGTAAAGTATTCAAGAGAACTAAGATCTAACATTGTTTACAATTCCTACACTATTTTATCCAAAAAAGTACTAGTCAGTCTTCCTTTTTCTTTGCCAAGGTGTGACAGAGAACCTTTAGCTGTGCTTCAGTTTCCCTGATACATAAAGTAGAAGTATGGTCCCTCATCTCCATAAACAACTTGAACATGTTCATAGTACTTGCATAATGATTAGCAGCCTGATGTCACTACTTCTTGATGAAGTTGTCAAAATGAGAATCAACGAGTTTTAAATTAACATAGCTCTTCTTAATTAGAGTGGTACTGCAGCACCATCTTGCATTAAATCAATGTTTTGAAGACATCCACTCTTGAGAAATTAATCTTACGCAATTTTAGTGGATTCAGAGGAAAGCAGGCATAAATCTGTTTTTCTAAATACTATGAAATTACTATTTATTTTCAGTACTGTCATGACACAGTTTGATGCTAAGTCCATTACAGTGCCAAGTCCCAGGGCAACTCATTCAAGTTATTTTTCAGTTAAGCCAGAGTGACCAGCCAAGTCATCCTTCTCTTGTAAGGGATGGAGGAGGTAAACTTACTCTTTCTTTTGGGCCTTTTTACTGCTTTCATTAAGGATTTTCATTCCAGTCTGATAAACATCCTCAGCTTCTTGCATCTGCCTTCTCTTATTAGACTGCTCTTCAGCTAAGAAAAAAAAAAAAAAAAAAAGTATATTAAGAGCTCAAATTACTCAGCTCAAGACTATTATCTCAAAAATCCTATTTGTTCTAAAGGGAAAATACAGCTAGAAATACATTTCTCAAGACCAATAAACAACATAAGTGATTACAAAAAGCTGTCTAAAGGGGGTACGTTTTGGAGGACAGTTTCTTCTCATGTGTCGTCTCCCATGTATGAGTTAAAATACTCTTTTCATTACTCCAAGCAAGCTGTGCAAAGAAGAAAGATTCCTCCTTCAGGAGGATGTTTCCTACAGAATGCTTGCCTTTCTACAACAAATCAGCAAGTATAAGGGGAAACACTGTTAAACCCCTGTACTCCTATATGCAGCCTCAGGAAACAAGAGTTTTATAGATGCTTCCACTTCAAGATTTCCCAAAAAGCTTTGGGAAGAGGCATTTGCATTATATTTTCCATTACAATAACCTTGCCTTTATAATTACTTGTATATGACGGTAGACAGTGGCCACTGATATGACAGGGACTTCTAGACCCTGAAATAAAAGGCATTAAGAGGACTGAAAACACTAGCTTAAGAAAGCATTCCTTGGACAAGAACAAGACATCAGATTACTTACTTTCACAGAAGCCCCACTTTTGATCTTTCTTGTAATCATAAGTTGTCGCACACCAAAGCCTGCCATCTTCCCTTCCGTCTGCAGTGCACTCTGCATACTCTTTCTCCATAAACAAAAAGGGGAAGTGGCAAGGTTCACCATCTGCAGTGCCTCCAATAGCTGTCAAAACTGAAAATATGTACCCAGGAATTAGACTGTTCTCCTTTAGTCCACAAATTAATCTGCTACATATAGGAAAGCATGCCTATGTTGGTTTTAATGATGATGAATTGCATTTAATCAAGTTGAGAGTAAAATTTCAAATTATAAAAGCCTGAAATCTATTTGTTTTGTTTGAAAACATATTATTCTTAACTGGGAAATTAAACAAAGGTATGTGGTTTCCTATATATTCCTTAGTTCTAAGCAAAGACAATATTTTTGTTTAAACTAGAGAGGCAAATCTGAGTTACATTTTCATTGCGTACCAAAAAAATAGGCCTTCTTTTCATTTTCTCTTCTCTGCACTACCCTCAAAATGCATTTCAGTGCATATATTCATTTTAGTCCCAGGGTTAGATGTAATCACAACAGAACCACTCACATTGTCAAATGTGATGCTGAAAGTACTTGAGTATCAGCAGGGAGTACAATTAGAACTGTAAGTAAAGACTTAAATGAAAACACTATAAGTCCAGTAATTTTCTACTGTTGCATGTACTTGTACTGAAAGCTTCATTTATTTGGCCAATATATTTAAGTTGCATTTAATATTACTTTGAACAGCATGATTTATTAATTCTCATGCACTAGAACATCAAAGATGACTGACTTTAATACTGTAATATTTTTAAATAAAATCAATTTTCTATGAAGACTAAGAATTATCTTAATTTTTTTGAAAGTAAAGTTTTTTTATTTAGTCTTTTATAAACGTTTTTCCCTTTCACTAAGATAAATCTAACAGTTGGGTTCAGCTTCATTTAAAGACATTTACAAAGTCATGCAATTGAGAATGTAAAATATCAGGTGATTTTTGAAGTTAAGTTTGCAATTCTTCTGGTTGTAGAGAAAGCTAGTTCTTTCTTTTAGGATCTATAATTGTTGAGACCTAAAGATGATACTAATTTAAAAATGTCATATTGATTTTTTGAAGCATAAGGAATCTTCAGGACCGGTTAACCTGTTGAAATTGCTCTTCATAATTTGATTCCTTGGCAGATGTTCCACCGCAACACTCCAAGTTAATTATCCCATAACACACAAAGAAAACTGCTACTTTCAGCAATTGCATTCAAACTTAATGTCTTGACATCCGATTAGCCTGGAATAATTTTTGACATCTGTTAGAAATGGAGTAATGTGCAAACTCATGCTAAGGATACACATAACTACAACTGATAAGAACTCTTTATCACTGTCACCTGAACAAACTCTAGGTCCAGGATATTAACACTTCTTGAGAACTTTAATACAAGTTTTACTTGTAATGTTTAGTATCTTCTCTCCTGTATTGAAAGCAATTGGACACAAACTGTTTACACAGTGCTCTGCATGAAGTCAGCTGTACAATACAGTTACTAAATTACTCTGCACCCAGTGCCCCCTTGCCTCTTTTTAATTCTGAATTCAACTGCAATGTCATTTTTCCCCCAGATAGTAACAACTACTAACCCCCAAAACAACAAACAATGCAATCACAGGATAAAATGCTCAGCACAGTTATTTTATCGTGTACATAAAGAGTGATAAATATGAAGTAAGTCATTTACTCAGAGGATAAATAATTTCTTGACCAACTGAACATGCAAGTAGCAGTTTACCTGTTCTACCATGTCTGAATGAAGTATATGGTACTTAATAATTGTATTTTGTCCTTACTTACTTATCTTTCATACTTTATGCTGCAGGAAACCCAAATATAGATTACTTATAAGTTTTGGTTACATTGGTAAGATTCCTCCAAAGAGGAAAAACACTGCAGGAATTCCCAGCTCTATGTATAAATTTATGGACAGTTTTCAGCAAAAATCGTTAGTATGGAACTTGACTGTTTCAAAAACATACAGCACAAAAGAGGAATATCTTAAAAAAATACAGTTTTCTTTTGCACAAGACCTCCTCCCTAATTAGAAGACAGCAGGACAACTTTGTTAGAAGGTTAAAAACTTTCATAGTGCTAATTACAAATTACACAAGATGAAATTATTTTCTGCTCAATATCCTGCAAAAAAATGTGGAAACTTGAATTATTTTTTTCCATGCAATCTTGTGACCATACATAGGACCCAAACTGTATTTAGAAAAGCTTTAATCTCCCTTAATGCAGTTCTGTCACCAGTAGTTCATTCACGAGATCTAATATCTGTACCTGAGGTAGATTCCTTTCCTGCTCAGTTAAAAAGTTTGCCAGTAAAGCTTCCCTTTAGCAGCTTTTTTTTCCTCCCAGAGTACAAGTGCTTTTCATTCAGAATTGCTTTTTAAATAAAACCAGTAATCCTTTCATCCACATAGCTATTTATCTCATTAGAGGTTCAAAAAACTGCAAGATTTAGATTTCTGGTTTCTGAAAGCTACTTGCAGTACTTTCACAAGTGTAGTTAAAAGAATGCAGTTGCCAAGGAGCAAGGTTATCCCTTTCTGATGCAAGGTACCTTTTTCCTGTACAACACCACACCTATTGACAGCAATACTTGATCCTGTTACTGAGTTTTTACCAACCGTATACTAGTTCTGCATTAATAAGGAAGGCTTATTAGAAAACTGTTAGTATTTATATTAAAAGAGCTCATTTCATAATTCCTGCTCTCTTTTGACATTCAAATCTGAGGTGAGAAGATAGACAAATACTGCTATCACCATGTAACTATGTTTTGTTTTTGGTAAAGTTGAAGATTTCCTTTTTATGGACAAGCAAAAAGGAAAAGTCTTGGCTAGGGTACTCAACTGTTCCATCTAGGTATCATCCACTCCTAACGGCAAGTCAAAAAATCATATCACATTTCTATTTTTATCAGTAGTAAAAAAGAAAGACTAGAATTTCCTGGGAATTTAGGCACAAGAACATAAGGTTTTACTTATATTAAAAAACTTACTGAAGTTTACATGCGATTTAGATGTTGCCCTAAGGCTCTGAATGCCACCCTAAAGAGTTTTAATTTGCATAAAAATGCCTTCACTGTCAACTGCCTCTCCAGGCAAACAGCTAGCAGGCTGAAACACTAATGCAATCGCTCCTTCTCAGGTTGGTATACATGCACACAGCATAGTATGTGTGCCTGAGTCCTACTTGAAGAAATCTGGGCTTTTGCCATTTGATAGTTAAAGCTTTCAAAGATGGAAACAACAAGAATTACTGAAAATCCCTTCAAATGCATCTAAAAATAACCCCTCATATTTCAAACACAATATATTTGAAAACTTTTTTATGTTACTTTCTAATCAAAAGCCAGCAACTACCATTCAATTTGAGAAAAATTAAGACACTAGTTATTTCATAAGTTCAAGATTACTATTTGTGTTCATCCACATGACAACATCACTCAGATGTGTATTTATTGCCACTTGATCAAAAGACTATGAGCAGTTACCTGGACTCTGCAATTCTGCTTCTTCCAAGTCCTTATTTAATAGATTTGACATTTCTAGAGAGTTCAACTCTTCCAGCAAATTCTCTTTTTCCTCCTGTTGACTTTGAGAGACATCTTCATCCTCTGATTGAGACTCAGATTTTCCTGATTCAAGGAAGATCTGACCTGCTACCACTCGAGTTCCTGCGGAATGGTCCTTTACCTGGTCCTCTGCAGATGAAGTCTGAAGGAAAGCATTTCATAATTTATAAGATCAGAAACAGAATGGCAGCAGCTGGCAAAAAACCTACTATTTTTTAAGACATGATTAATTAACATACTAAGTTTCAGCAGTTGAGTTACCTCTATCAGCTCTCGTTTACTCTATTCCTTCCAGTTTTTTGAATTTTATTTTTTTTTCAAAGGCGTAACACATTAATTCTTCCGCTGGACAGAAGAAATTAATGAGACAAGAGCTACAAAACAATTTATAACAGGAATCATAGTTCTAAACTTCAGACCTTTGCCCTTACTCCAGCAGAAAAACTGAATAACTATCAACTTATTTCCTCACCTTTGACTCCAGTGATTCATCTTGGTTTCCCTCTTCATCTAGAAGAGATGTTATAAGTCAGTAAAAAACTTTTCCACAAGGAATTTTCTCAAAAAGAAGTTTAGCTATAATATTGTACTATGATTCTGAAATAATTTACTGTACTAAGTTGACTAATGCAGTTCAGAAAGACATTGTTACTGTTATCAGGAAGAATCAAGTGTTTCACGGACAATCTTCCTCTTCCTTAAATTATGCCAACACAACTGTGTTTCTAATACTGGAAAAAAGTGTGGAACTTTTTTTAAAGATAAATCAAAATCAGTCCCCTAGATTACTACACAGTCTGAACTGTCTGGTCCAACTACTTCAAAAGTTATGCATTAGGTGAAAAGGGCCTATGGAACCTAAGGTTTTAGTCATCAAATCAGCTTTAGTATAAACAGCTTCAGTAGTGACCAGAAAGTTACATTAACACAAATAAATACCACTCTGCTTTAAATTAAACACTTTTCTTTGCAGAATGCCAATTAATTTTACCTGACCAGCATATTCAAACCTTTACATAGAGGTCACTCTTCAGAACTGTGAGAAATCAGTTTGTCCTTCAGATGAGGTTTAAGAGCTGCAAGCCTTGTTTAACTTGTCTTTCTTATCTTAATGGCCTGTGATATGATACTTTATTAGAAAGACTGGAAAGAAAAAATGGTAAAGAAGAAAGGCTATTAGTCAGAGATCTAAAAGAACAGAGGTGAAAAGAAGGGAGAACATAATCAGAAAAGCTTACTTTAGGACAGTTTTACCATTTTTTTGCAGAATTGTGTCTCTTACTTGCTTTGTTCCTGTAACTGAAATGGGCTATTCACTGTGCTGCAAACTACTTGATTTCCACTATTATCTCAGCTGAAAGCCTCTAAAATTATCACAGCCAAAATGTGACTGTTCCCAGCCGTCAGTATCTGATACCACCTCATTTAGGTAAACAAAAATCCCCCACATTTAAAAGAAGATGCTACAGGCCCCCCATGTCTCTGGTATACAACTCACTTAGAGAGAAACTGAAGTGCTAAAGATAAACAGATGACTAAGCAAAGCTGCCACTAACTCCTACTACATTTAGAAATCCTCCTCTTTTAAGACTCTAGGATGTAGAATGCCCTGTTAACAGGTTGGAGACTTGCACTACAACTAGAAAAGGTACCTAAACCGATAGAAGTTAGTGATCTATATGCAAGATGCACCATGTAATATGTTATGGTTAGCTAGAAAGACTAACTGCATAAATACTGAAAGACAACAAAAATCTCCGGAAGCTTATAGAATTCTGACATTTTGTAAGCATTTGGCAGCAAACGAAACTTGCGTACTTTTCATCCTCAAGAAAGTAAAGTGTCTTATCGGAGATCGATAATCTCTGAAGTGACAAACTACAAACATGACACTTTACCAGTTCATTTTTTTTACTAGTATTACTGTAACTGAACAACTCTGAGTATTTGCAATGAAAGAGTTACTCTTAGAAGCCAGACTCCATAAAGCAATTTCCACAATGTTATTTGAAGTATGACCTTTGATTAGAACAAGTGAATAAAAAGATGAGGACCAACTTTAAGCTGTAACGCTGTAATAAAAACAAAGCAAAAATGCTAAGACTTACAAGTGAAGCTGCAAAACTAAGTTGACAAGAAGTTTGACAGTGAAACTGTGGCAAATAGATAATAGTATGTTGAGCATACTGAAGAGGATGTAGAGCTCAAAAAGTCTGACTGCAAGCAGACACAGTGTACAACAGTAGGTGTGTGTAAGCAGCTGTATCCTACAGATCCAAAAATGAAAGTGTCTAGAGATCTTAAGAAAAACTAGTGGAGGCAGCAAAGAGCACTCCAGATAAAATCGACCCTTAAAGCAGCAACAAAGACAGCATAAGAACAACTGCCAATTTGGAAAAAACACCAAAAAAGGCTCAAGAAAAAATAAAGCCAGCTGCATTTTTGGCAGTGATCACACTGCTTATCAGTTTGAGCAATCTTATAAGGGTGATTGTGGTAAGTCTTAAGTTCTACCACTGAACTGCAGCACTTCAGATCACCATACAACAGTTGTTTTTTAAATACAGTAAAGTACATCTCCATTTAAGATACGCATTGGTCCCTTCTATTTTGAAACAATGAGGCAAATTTGAAGTCAGCAGGTTTCCCATATATTAGATTCTACCTTCCTAAATTATTTTGATCTAGAACCAAATGCCACACCTAAAACTTCAAACTCCAGAGCCTGTCAAGAGATTTCACATATGCTTCTGGAGTGGGGGAAAACTAAGTTAACCTACCCAGCAGCTTTTATGCTGCTATTAATCTATACAAAGCTGTGTGTGTGTATGTCTACATATATTTTTATATATATACACACATGCACAGTACCTATTACTGCAGTAACAAACATCATGTTATTTTAATAGCTGTACCAGCTAAGGTGTCTGGTTTTGTGCGCTCAAAATCAGCTCATACATCTGACAGCAGTAGACCATTCTAGCTTTTCAGTAAAGGCTTTACTAACTGTTACAACAAAAGACCAGACGAGGTCAAATAGAAGTAGGGTATACTATCTATGCACATATATAAAAAAACAATTTTATTGTAACTTCATATGCCAAGGAAAAGGTTTACTAAATTGAAAGACAACTATCTCAGCAATGTAAGGCAGAGCTCATTAAATGTTTGCCCTTTTTCCTTGAAAGTAAATAAGCCTCTTTCATTTTTATTGCATCATTTCAATTCTCTCTGAAGGAACCAGCTGTTATTAAGAAGTTGTACATGAATAACTGTTTTCAAAACAGTGGTTCCAAAACAGCACTACAGCAACAACAAAGTATTAGTTTGAATATTCTTAGCTTGGGACTTTAAGTTAGGCAGATGAGGCTGCAGTGATGATTGATAATGTGACTAGAGGAGGGATCACGTACAGCCTTGTTTTTCCACAGATCTGCTGACTAATATGCACCCATTACTCACAGAAGTGTGTCTACTTCTAAGAAAGAGCTAAGAAAACTATTCTGAAAGTGTTAACGAAAGCTCTATGGAAGGTCACAGTTTGACCTAAGAACAGCCTATTAGTCAAGGCTCAACTACTGAACAAAGTCACAGATGTGATGTTTGTGCACCTGTTTCAGAGATTAAAGCTGCTAGTTGAGTTTGTTTTCTCATCGTTCAATTTTAAAAAATGACCTTGTTGTTTTTTTTTTTTGTTTGTTTGTTTTTTTCTATTTGGGTCTGTTACCAAGACTGCCTAATTCTATGAAACCCTTCTGAAAAAAAACCAATTGGAAATTAATCCTACTCTTTGCTAAACAAATTAAAGAGATTCAATGACACAGTGAACGAAAAAGTGGGCAAAAATACCTGTGGCTGAAACATGCAGCTGACAACATTGTAGAGAATGTTTTCCTCACAAACAGTGCGGAGCTGTAGACACTGCTGGGTGCTCTCATGCCCAGCTAGGACAGCTGAACACTTGTTACAACCACCCACCACTTCATATAATTGAAATCAGCTTTAAGATTTATTAATTTTTCCTCAATTAGAAAGACCAGTGTACAATTAAGTCTACTTAAATATAGCAAAAGTACTCTGGCAACCTATGAGAGCAAAAAATGCTAGATACGCTGGATGAAGATCCTACCATGTTGTGAGAATTAACGTTTTCAAGAGAGCACTGCAGAGAGAGACACAGGAACAAGAAGAGCTATGCCATGTGATTCAGCAAGAAGAACGTCATTAGCTTGAGGAAGCTAAACAGTTTCAGAGTTTTGCCATACTGTAAGAACAAACCAACTGACAGCTTATAAAGCTAAAGGACTGCTACTACCAGACAAGAAATACCGTTACTTTCAACTGTAGAATGGTCCCTCACCTTTGGGAAATAGCCAAAAATTCAGTAAGTGCAAGCAGTTGGCAATCTCCCCGAGCTCTGATGAATGCCCTAACGGATCACTGCAGGCAGTTTCCTTCCAGTTTTCACCAAGCTCTTCAAGCTTCAACACCATCACAACAAAGCAACTACTAAGATTATGCATGCTATAGAGTGATCTCCAAAGTGGGGTGTGTATACCCCAGGGCCTGCAATAGCCAACCCACTGGTGGTGCAGGAAGAAAATACTTTTTATACTGTTAATAAAACTTTTCTTAATATAGTGTTTAATTTACCTTTATCTCATTCTTTTTTAAATTTCTGGCTTTGTGCATGCTTTATAATGTACATTAAAAAAATACATGTATGTACTACTATATTAACATATTAAGTTAAATATTGAAGATGCATACTTGAGATTTGGCCACAACTATTTTAGGGCATCTATCACAGATTTTCTGTGGTATTCAGTTATTTCTTTCAATGTTCTTTTCATGCAAGTGACCAGTTAAGACTTTGAAATAGAATACAAACTCTATTTATCCTATTCTTGCAGGAAAAAAAGAAATCTTAAGAAAAAAATTACCTCTGATTGCTGCTCATCAATTTTTCAACTGTTGAATTCAGCACAGAAATAGATTTCATAGCTTAAATGTTATTTGTGTTACATGAACCTCTAAAACATGTAGTGAGTTAAGCAAAATCCTTAAGTGGCATCTATTCAGCAAGACTAGTTTCAAAGTATCCTTGGCAGCAATTGTTCACAGCTACAGTCTGTGCAGAGTATTCCTTTTAGTGCAACGACAAGATTAAGACACGTCTACCCTCACCCTGAATACAAAACTTTTTCCCAATCTCCTTGCTAACTATTTACAAAACTTTCTCTGTAAGAATTAAGATTCCCTTTTAGGCTACAAGTTTAGGGAATGTTTTTCAGTTAGGTAAGCAAAATCAGAAGGGTCTGGAAAAACCACTGAGCTCTGCTCTGTCTTTTGAGATAATGGGTACAGAAGTTTCCTATGAGCATATGCTTATGCTCATTTGTCCTACCAGTTATTAAGACAGTATGAAAACTCCCTATCACTGAAGTTAGCCATGGAAGATGTAGGATAGTCAGAGGAAGAATTACTTCCTCTCTTCAGGCAGAATGAGAGAATTTCTACCTTCTAGTCTGTGAACAAGGGAAAAGAAACCCTAAGAATCAACTAATATTACCAATCAGAAAAAAATAAGAGATTTTCTTCTTACATTTTTGAAGAAGAATTAACGGAAGAAGCAGAAGGCCATAGCTGCTGTGATAAACCGAAGATCACTTCAGACTGCACATCATGTTTTTAGCTGCTTTTGCCAGTTCCCCATGGACTCCTTAGCATCCTTTCCCAAGCCTCCAATGTTCAATTTCTTCATCATGCCTATTAATATTATAACTTCAAAACTTAAAAAAAATTATTGCCTGTTTCCTTAGGCCTGTCTTTACTTGCATTCACCCCATGTCTTCAATAAATTGATTTAAGCAAAGTTTATGACTAGAGTTAGGGCTTAAGGCTATAGTTAAATGACTCACTACTAAAAAAAAAAATAATTATCATTAAAAACATCTTCTGAAGTAATGAAATTCAATGCTTGAACCATTTTTAATCATCCCCCTCCTCCCTTCAATGTACTCATATTTCAGCTGACTGTCTTCAGACCAGACATTAGGAACAAAATAGTATTCAAGGAAGCATTCAGCACACAGTCTCTAGACTGTGTGACAAAGTGGTACTGCTATTGTAGGAAAACAAAACACCAATGAAGTGATGAAGACTTATTTTCTTTCAGTATGATTCTTGTCAAAAAATGGGAGCAAGAAAAGCAGACCTGTTATAACCTGTTGCCAAAAGGTGGACTCCAAACATCTTCTCCTAATTAATTCTGGATTTGAATGAACATTTTTACCCCACAGTAGCGTTTTAAGTTTGACAACAGCTCTTAATCCTATATGCTTTCTTGGGCCTACTAATTGCATTAGTTCAATTGACTCTAAACATACGGTTTTGAAGACTGAATTAAGCTATCAAACCATCATATTCACAAACATAACATTGTGAGAGTGGAAAATCAGTCAAGACAGAAGAGTTGCATGCTAGCACAGCCATAGACGCATACCTGAGCAGATCTTAGTATCGTCACTTAATTTCCACATACACAACAGATGATTCATCTGACTTGAAGAGTCTCATCTCACCTTAGCTTTTTTCTTGATATACACTATTAGTGACAACACATCATTCAAAGTCTGGGTACATCTCTGGCTTCACAGAACTTGTATGCATCTTTTCTACACCTCAGGAAGTACCCTGCTGGTTTATAACATTATCTACACAGATCATACAACTGTGCTTGATATTTAATCTGAACTCCAGTAATAGAACTTGAAATTTCAGCTTCCTACTGCATACATGAAAACGAAGCCCAAATCTTACCTCTAGAGAAAACATTATGTTTCTTTCCTGAAATATCACTGACAGCCTAAAAGCACTGGGTAAGACTGTCTATAAGGAGTGTTTTCTGGCATAAGAAACACTATATAAACAAATGCACTGCACGTTCTCACCCCCTCCGCCCATGGTGGACAGAGGGGTGGGTGTGGGAGGTAGAAACCCAAGGAAAGGAAGTAGATGACAACATTTGAGAAGTACACAAAACCCAAGCTGCGTAACAACAAAAGAAGCAGAAAAAAACCAGTATTATAGTGTCATAACGCAGGCCTCACTATATATTTGCGTGACAAAACTGTTCTGGTAACGCTAACATCAGCATTATCGGATCCTCAGCAAGGAAATGCGTACGAGTGAGGATAAAAAGTGTCGTTTCAGTTTTAAGCAGAGCAGGTGTTACAGAGCAGGCTCCTAATTAGCTGTTCAAAGGCAGGAGCCAGACTGAAAAGTGTGTTCACCCCCACCAGCCCTGCCGAACTGCCCCCGGAGGGGCAAGCGCAGGTTCAAGCTGAGCAACGGACCCGCCGCACCTCGCAAGCCCGGCTC